TACTTACTTGTGAAACGTCAACCGGGATCCTTTTAAGAATTTTTTATTACAAACTATATATAAAAACTCTCGGCATGATTTTAGCATTTATTTTAAAATAAAAACACACTTTAGAAGTTTATAAAAGAGGCACCTCGTCCAAATTATCTTCAGTAGCCCCAAAAACCGATCTTTTTACAAACCAAAACAAGACGTCTAATGAAATATCATTTATTACAAATACGCGCGCTATTTAAATTCGCCAATCATAAATCGTCGTGTACCTAACTCGCCAATCATAACGCGTCGTGTACCTAACACCGAAGGGGTTACCCCCCCTCAGTACATAACAAACCCATTTGAGTAACACCTCTAGTCTTATATAATAATAATAATAATAATGTTTATTTGCATAGAAATACATAGTACATAATAATTAGTAACAACAAATAAACGGAAATACAGTAATGAGATAAAAACCACGAAGTAAAGCAAGTTACTTGTATGTGGCATACTACACATTTTTTAACATTATTGGTATATAAAAAAGTATTTAAACTTACATAAAAATAAAAATATAGAACCTTACTATCTAAAATAATGTAAATAACAAAAATGATAATAATAATAATAATAATATAGAGTATATATATATATATATATATATATATATATACACACAGGGATTTTAAAGACAAATTCTAATTTTCAATAATTTGATGTGCAAAGGCACGTGGCATGCTTAAGATAAATCTTTTTATTTTCTTTTTGTATATCGGAAATTTAATTTCGTTTCTAATATCACAGGGTAGTGAATTATAAATTTTAGGACCTAAAAAGGAATAAGATTTTTGTCCAATAGCTTTCTTCATATAAGGAGGAACGTACGTTAGTTTGTTACGGGTGGCATATTCGTGACTTGAAGTTTTAAGTTCCACCTTGTGGTTATACTGGGTAATACCTACGTTTATAAAATATAGCTGTCTAGGATCAAATATACCACTCTCACTATATAACATATTGGTTGGACAATCATAACCCCTCTGCAAAATGATTCGAATAAATCGTTTTTAGAATATTTCAAGTGATGAAAGGTAAGTTTTGGATACGCCACCCCATCCTATTATCCCATAATTAAGATGTGATTCAACTAAACTCTTGTATAACATTATTTTTTGTTTAAAATCAAGAATACAACATATTTGTTTAAATTTATATAATACACAACGCAGTTTTTTTAAGGTATATTCTATGTGTTGATCCCACCTTAAGTTATGGTCTATTATAATTCCAAGGTATTTTATTTTTCTTACAGGGGTAATGCTAAACGTATGCTCTAAGGGTTTCAAAGATAAAAGAGGAAGTGAGGTTACGTTTCACTCGTTAATATTATTTCTTACCGAAGAGCATGGGCGTCGTTTTAGGAGAAAAAAGGAAAATAAAATATGAATATTAAAAAATATAAAATTGTTATTATATTTAGTGTTCTAAAAAACGAATTAGAAGAAACTTATGGTTAGAGGCACTTGAGTGGACTGAAATGTTAGAAGTTGAACGAATATATTACATTTGTTAATACTTTTTAGAGGACGGCTTTGCTGCAACAAATATATTTATAAGTTTGTACGTTTCTAAATAATATCGAGCACTTTTAAAAATTGTATCTTTACTTTTTAGGAACTTTGTATTACACAAAAAAGCAAGAAAAAGAGAGTAGTGGTGAACGTATGTCACCTAAAAAAAAATAGAAGGTATTGTGTTTAATAAATTTGGCGAATCAATAGTATGTTTAAATGATTTTAGTATAGTAATTTCTACAGATACTAAATTATTTGGTTATGGGCCTTCTTTAAGAGTATTAAACTTGCCAACAAATAAAAGAAGTTATAGTTTGAACAAAAGAACCTCATACACTTCAATATTAAGTTCAAGGTATGACTATGAAACTCTCATCAACAAAATTTGAGTCACCATTAATTAAAAAGTAAATCAAAAATTGGATTTAATCTAAGCCCATACATTAAATTGTATATGAATACTTATTTCAGAAAATCTAGATATTTTGGTAACTTTACATTGAAGTTTCTAGAAACTCGGTCGTTATGAAGACTTTTTTGTTCCCAACAGTACTGCTTCAAACTTACGAAACCAAAATAAAATATTACAGACACAGAGTGAAAAAGTATGTGAAATATCAAAAAATTTGTGCAGAATTGCCGATTTGAAAAGAAAAAAAATATATGTTTTTGGACGCATACTGTATATTTGTACATGGTTTAAAATATAAACTATCATCAGTAATATAAGAATATTTAGTTACCTAATTTAAATAAACTAGGTAATTTCTATTTTAAACGAAGTCATTAGAAAAGTAAATAAAATTCTTATATATTTTTTTAATGTCCTGAAATACTTCTACTTATGCTAAATAGGTAAATAGATATTGGTTTGTTTTATTCTTATTAGGTATATTTTTTATTTTCTCATGTTTAAATTAAATGCTTTTTGTATTTTTTCAGTTCTACCATTGTATAGGTTTTCAACAGGTATAGATATTTTATAGAATTCCAAGTAAATATTTTAGGAGCAATAAAATATATTTGAATTATTATTATATTTTTTGACATGACAATAATGTCATATTTTGTTTTGAGTTCAATAAAAACGTCCTTAAACGTCCTTATCTTTTAAAACATTCTTTTGTATGTTTTTGTCTATTTGCAGTCACTATTTTCACATTTAAAATAACCCAATACAATCCGTTTACGTACGCTACTGCTGAAGATTCTAATATGAACTAGAAAGCCTGCATTAGAAAAAGAAACAATGATTTTATTAGGCATTCCAACGATCTGTCCAAATGGCTACCAGTCAGTGGCAATGAACTGTTCATTGGTCAGTGGGGACTGGCAGTTTAGATATGGCAATCCTGGGGACCTATTTTCAAAGTATGTGAGCACTCATTTCTCTCAAGATTCTCATCAGAAATGTCATACGTCAATGTGGAAACGCTGTATTTAAAGGAATCGAGGATTAAAATTCTTAGGAGAATTTTAATTATCTCTAAATAAACCGAGAGAAACAGTCAGTGAGTTCACACTGGCCCTAAGAGCCCTAAAAATACTGTTTTACGTTGACGTATGACATTTCTCTTGATGGAAATGAATTCTCTCGAGTTTGAAAATAGCCCCCCTGGGGACCTATTTTCAAACCGTGTGAGTACTCATTTCTCTCAAGATTCTCATCAGAAATGTCATACGTCAATGTGGAAACGCTGTTTTTAAAGGCCTCGAGGATTAAAATTCTTAGGAGGATATTAATTCTCTCTAAATAAACCGTGAGAAACAATCAGTGAGTTTACACTGGCCCTTAGGACCCTAAAAATACTGTTTTACGTTGACGTATGACATTTCTCTCGAGAGAAATGAATTCTCTCGACTTTGAAAATAGCACCCCTCTGGGGACCTATTTTCAAAGTATGTGAGCACTCATTTCTCTCAAGATTCTCATCAGAAATGTCATACGTCAATGTGGAAATGTTGTTTTTAAAGGCATCGAGGATTAAAATTCTTAGGAAGATTTTAATTCTCTCTAAATAAACCGAGAGAAACAGTCAGTGAGTTCACACTGGCCCTAAGAGCCCTAAAAATACGGTTTTACGTTGACGTATGACATTTCTCTTGAGAGAAATGAATTCTCTCGAGTTTGAAAATAGCACCCCTGTTGTCATGTTGTCATGAACAGGGTCAATGATACATATATAGTTATATAGATTGCTCAAAGTTGGTCGTTTGCGAGCGGCCATATTGCCTGGAAAATATTTAATAATTTGAATCGGTTTAACAAAAATGTGTTTTAAAACTAATTTTTAGCTTTTGGATATTTAAAAAAAATAATTGCTTACATTTTTACTTCAAGGCATAAGCTTATATATTTATTTTGAAAAATATGGATGATCAATCTATGTAACTATCTATTTCATTGACCTTGTCAAATCACCAGGCCTACAGGGCTGGGCTGGAACTCTGTGTCATGTAGAATTCTACTTATCGCTTTCTACAATAGATTCTTTTGTGGCACTCTGTGTAACATAGCGGAAAACCAACGAGTATATACTTACTACAGGATAACTAGTTTCATAAGAAACCACATTGCGATATTTCCCGTGCGGTTGATAACGTATTTATCACAAAAGAAAGTAATCGATTCCATTGTAGAAAGCGATAAGTAGAATTCTACATGACACAGAGTTCCAGCCCAGGAACTCTGTGTCATGTAGAATTCTACTTATCGCTTTCTACAATAGATTCTTTTGTGGCACTCTGTGTAACATAGCGGAAAACCAACGAGTATATACTTACTACAAGATAACTAGTTTCATAAGAAACCACATTGCAATATTTCCCGTGCGGTTGATAACGTATTTATCACAAAAGAAAGTAATCGATTACATTGTAGAAAGCGATAAGTAGAATTCTACATGACACAGAGTTCCAGCCCAGGGTAACCATTCAGTTTGGAATAGTTAATTAGAGCGACTTCAACATTGTATAGATTTATGCAGGGGTAACCTATCTGTACATATTTTATCCAAGAGTGAAACCCGCTTTTTCGTTGTCTGATAAACATATGAACGAGCAATCTATTTAATTGCATATCATTGATAAATATTTTTATCGTTACCTATTGCGCCATCTAGAAAAAATAGCGGAGTTACAGCAAAACATTATTAAGGCATTTTCTCGTTATTTAAATTATGAAGACATTGTTTAGTGTCACTGATTTTCAAAATTACTAAAAAATTTAGAAGATAATTTTTAGAAACAAAAATAAAGGCACACATTTCAGTAGGATATGGTTAAATTTTCTTTAAAAAAAATTATTTTTGTAACCTTGAACATTAAAAATGAACTAAACAAGAAATGACGTGTGTCATTGTGACATTATTTAAGTCGTTAAGTTGGCAGTATCTATTTTTGATGTTTTTTATAGGCTTCAATCAAAAATTTTTTTAGATTAAAATGGCAAAAAAGACATACGATTTATTGTTCAAACTATTATTAATTGGTGATTCTGGAGTAGGAAAAACATGTATATTGTTTAGATTTTCAGATGATGCATTTACGACAACTTTTATATCAACAATAGGTAATTTATTTTTAGTTTTTTTTTTTCGTTTATATTTCAAGAATTTTATATAACTTTATTCTAGACAATATGATTTATGGAACCCGCATATTTTGTTAATTAAGTGATAATAGTATCCAAAGTTTAAGGTTCAAGTATAATACGTGATTAAAATATTCTCTTTTAGGTATAGATTTCAAAATAAAAACTGTAGAGTTACGGGGTAAAAAAATTAAGCTACAAATATGGGATACTGCTGGACAAGAGAGATTTCACACGATAACTACCTCTTATTACAGAGGCGCCATGGGTATAATGTTAGTTTATGATATTACCAATGAAAAAAGCTTTGAGAATATAGTGAAATGGTTAAGGAATATAGATGAAGTAAGTCTACATTCTTATTCAAACAGTAGTAATTTTATATATCTAAATTTCATTTCTACATCTATTAGCAAGGTCTAAATATTAGCATATTTTATTTTCGCTACATTAGCTTATAAAAAATTATTTCAAATCATGTTCAAGGTTCTATCTATGAATAAGAGGTGTTAAATGCAAATTGTACTAAATTTAAATAGTTTACTTCATTCAAACTGAAACCTATCAACCTTGAAGATCACTGGTTCATTGTTACAAAAAATTACACTTTTTTAATTAATGGTGAAAAATTGTTAATATAGAATTAAGAGGGTACAAATTTTTCATGGTGGAAATATTTATGTTCGAAACCACTATAATGAATTGTTTAGTACCAGATTAGTATATAACACAGGGATTAATACTTAGTCCAATCCTTTTTAGTTGACATGTCACAAGATTACAGGTTTGAAATATATGTTTTTAATAAAACTACAGATAGGTATTTCATGATTTTTTTGAAAAACCTAGATAGGCATATTGATTTTGATAGAGTTATTATTCCCATAGGCAACCAATACAAATATCTGGGTATGGTTTTGGAACCAAAATTGCTTTGAGTACAACATATCGAATATGTAAAAGGTCACTCTGAAAAGAGCCTCAATATTCTGAAGAGTGTTTGTGGAAGAGCAAGGGAAGCAATACCAAATATAGCATTATTCTAAGTATAGATCTTAAATTAGGTCCGAGATTAGGTCTATAATTGACTATGGCTGCATATACCATGTTATGGTAGTTATATGTAAGAAATGGTTATTAAATTTCAAATTAGACTGAAAGACAACTCTCAAATCCTTTACCTTATATTCATGATTTAGTGTGACATCACAGGTCTTGTAATTATTTAGGATTGGGATGTTTTTTTATAAATGTTACAAATGTACATTTTTATATTCAGTATCATTTTTTATCTGCAAACTATTTACTTACATTGTTGATGTCTAGCTGAAGCAAATTACAATCGGAGTTTGTGTTTTGACAGCTCTGAAAAGTTTTTGAAACCATCGGCAAAAAGTAGTCCTGTGGAGTTACAGGCAATCTGCCAATGTGTTGATAAAACAAAAAACTAAAGGCCCTAAATTGCTGCACTGTGGGAAGCCTGATTCACACATGCCTACTTTAACCCATTGGACTATTTGGAAGGTATAATTTGATAAAATAATAAACATCATCGGTTATGTCCAGCTACACGAGTTTACTGAGTAACAATTTGTAATTAACCTTGTTGAATGCTTTCTCACAATCCGTGTAGATAACGTCCAATTGATTTTTATTGAATGTTGCTTCAGCTGCAGCTTGTGATATTATTCAAAGATCGGTTATGATGGATTTATCATTTAGAAATGCCTTTTAAAATTTCAGATTTTAAAGAGTTTGACAGATCATCATGTATTATTATTTCATACATTTTTGCCAAGACATAAATTAAGCTAATAGGTCTTTAATTTTTAAAAATAGATATTATTTTTGCTGTTTTTAAGGCATCAGGAAAATATTTATTTTAAATAACAAGATTGAAAATATTTTTTAATGGCGATGCAATATATTCTGCTATACCTTTATACAGGGTGTCTCATTAGTGAGTAATTGCTCAATATTTAATTTGTGTTATAGACACACAAACAAGTTTCAAATGTAAGTTACATGGATTCAAAAAAAGAGATTTAAAAAATTATAATACAGGGTGTTACGTTTTTGCCTGGCAAATAAAAATGTAATTTTTCAATTTTAAAATGAAATAATTAATTGATTGACAACCCTGTAATATTTTTCAAAACTATTTTAGAGTTGAATACAGTATTACTAGACCATTCTAAAACTGAAATAAAATACAGAGTGTTCCATTTGAAAAATATACATTTTTATTTGTCAGGCAAAAGCGCAACATCCTGTATGTCCAAAAATATTTTTTAAATATGCCTTTTTAAAATCCATATAACTTTTATTTGAAACTTGTTTGTTTGTGTCTTTAATTGATTTATCAAGTAATTATGCAGTAATGGGACAACCTGTATATGTATGCTGGGGTGTTATCAGGGCCAGTGGTTTTTTTGTTTTAGTTTCTTTATACTATTTATTACATCATTTTTTGTTATTATAGAAAATTCAAAGGAGGTACCACTAAACTTAAGAGCGGCAATATTTACTTTCATGGGATTTTAATTAATTTATGGCAGACAAAATTAACCAATGTTTTTTGGACTTATTTGTTTTCATTCAAACTAAAACCTACCGACCTTGAAGATGAAAAAATAACAGATACTCATTGTGATATATAGGTCAAATTCACAATATTCTAATTTTGAAATATTTCTTGCAATTTTAACAAATGTCTTATTACTATTAGAAGTTAAACAAAAATATTAGAATCATTATATGTGGGGATTTTAATGTAAAATTTTTAGAACCTGATAGCAGAACAAAAGACAACTCACTGACTTGTTACTTCAGTTTAATTTTGAACAAACAATATTTACATATACTCGTATTACAGAGAGCTCTCAAACATGTCCAGACAACATATTTGCTAACTTTTCTTTTGCTCAGACACACGTGTTAAGGACTACAGAGTCAGACCATTACCCTCAATTATTAACTTTCCTAAATCATGAGCGCTCCATATTAGGAGATATAACCCATTTTAGATCTCAAAATAATATAAATAATCTTCTGCAAAATGAAACCTGGCATGACATGAGAATAGCAACCAATGCAAATAAAAAAGCTGAAGCACTTCATAATACATTTATGAAACATTTTAATGCCTCAATTCCAAATATATCCCAACCTAAAAGAAAATGTAATAAAAACTTGAGTTTATGAATACAGATGAAATAAAAAGACAAAAAGAACTCTTCTCATTTTTACAGGACCTCATTAAAAACAAACCAACCGACTACAAAAAAAAAACTATATAAACAAGAGAAAACCAAATAAAATGTATTGCTAAAAAATGCAAAACAAAATAACTTACTTCAACAAATTAATAATTCAGACAATAAATCTAAAACTGTATGGCAAATAATAAATAATGAAACAGGATGTAATAATAAAAGTAAAGTAGAATCTGAAATCGATATAGAAACCTTTAATAAATATTTTGTAAATCATTCATCTGATATAGTAGAAGGCATCTTCAATAACAATAAAAATAAAATTGACTTAACTTATAACCGAAAACATCAATCACTTTTCTTAGCTCCTTTTACTGAATCTGACACCATAGATATAATACAAAACATTAAATCAAAAAGAACTCAAGATATCTATGAAATTAATACCTATTACTGAATTGATAAACTGTTGTTTAGCTGAAGGTGCCTTTCCAGATATTTTTAAAACTTCCAAAGTTCTACCATGCCACAAAAAAGGAGATGGCTCAGTACCTGAAAATTTTCGCCAAATACATATTTTACCATGTTTTTCTAAAATACTTGAAAGTGTTATAGTAAAACAAATTGTGCATTTCTTTGAAAACAACAACCTGTTTTCTGCGGAACAATATGGTTTTAGACGTAGGAGAACAACTACAGATGCCATGCTGGCTTTAATGAATAACATTCAGGAGTCTTTAGAAAACAAATCACAATGCGTAGCTATATTCAGTGATCTGTCTAAAGCACTTGACTGTGTAAGTCACACATTGTTAATCAACAAACTAGATAAATATGGCATTAGAGGCATTGCAAATAAGATGATTGCTTCTTATTTGCAAAACAGATAACAAAGTATATATTACAGAAATAAACTTAGTAAACCTTTATTAATGAAAAGAGGTGTTCCACAAGGATCCGTACTAGGCCCTCTATTATTTTTAATATATACCAATAATCTTCCATCATATATGAATTCAAATAATGCCGAATTACTAACTACCATGTATGCAGATGATAACAATTTCTCATATCACTGCAATAACACATCTGACATAGTTATTAAAATCTCTGAGATTATGACTGAAGCTAAACAATGGTTTGATAGCAACGAATTATTTTTAAATCACAATAACACTGAAACATGTGTCTTCAGGTTGAACCAAACTACTAGTGAAACAATGAACACTAAATTTCTCGGTATTTATTTTGACACACAACTTACATGGAACTATCAAATAAATAACTTATGCAACAAGTTGGCAAAATTCACGTTTGCTCTATGTAGAATATCAAATATAGTTAATACAGAAGCAGCAATAACTACTTATTATGGCTTATTCCATTCCAATTTAACATATGGGATTCTAACTTGGGGAAATGCTAGCTTCACTTCACTACAAAGACTTTTTATCTTGCAAAAATCAGCAGTTCGCTCTATTCTGCAGGTAAATTATTATGAACCATACCGACCACTATTTAAGCAACTTAGCATAATGACCCTCTTTTCGCAAATAAATAGTATTTGAAAACTTGCTAACCATAAAAAATAATTTGGGAAACTTCACATGTCACTCAGACAATCATACATACGATACCAGAGGGATACATCAGCTAATCCAAATGAGAACTAGAATAAACAAGTCCCGAACAATAGGCATTTCATTCTTTAATGCACTTCCGCCCCACATCCGTAACCTACCAGGAAAAAAGTTTAAACATCAAATTACTGGATATTACTGGACATGTGTCTATATAACATTAACGATTATTTTGTAAGAGTGAAACATGTCACCTAATATTTTTAAAATTGTATTTTTTTATATATTTTTTATTACTATTACCAACCATGATCTTTTAAAATCCTATTTTATTTTAAATTTTATACAAGTATGTAAAATGTGGTGTATTTTACCATTTATGTGTACTGACGACTATGTAAACATGTTTATATATGTATTACTGAGAATAAATATTTCTATTCAATTTATTGGTGAAAAATCGGAGTTGTTAATACAAATTAATTTGTGACAGGCAAACTAGTCTAGAAAAAAAAATTTTTTTTTGTTTTTGAACTGAATTATTAGAAAATTATTAGAATAAATATCCTTTTTTTAATTATTTATGTTGTATAGAATAATTTTTACATGTAATATTTTAGCATGCTAATGAAGATGTGGAAAAAATGATATTAGGTAATAAATGTGATATGACAGATAAGAGAACAGTCAGTAAAGAAAGAGGTGAAACGGTAAGTACTATGTTTTTATTAATAAATTGATATTGAATAAAAAACATTCTAAATTTGAACTTTATTTATGAAATAGTTTCAAAAAGTAATAAGCATAATTAATTGAATAAAAGAAGAAAAAGTTTTTTAAATAAAAAAAATATCTATATGGAAGAATTACTCAATTTAATTTTGTTTACGCTGTATTTTATCTGTATTACATTATCAGGAAATGGTAGGACTTTTTATGACTAATTGAATCTTTATTTATTACATCCTTATCTCTAGTTACAGGATATTTGATCAGTTTTTGTGTGGATGCAAGTAATTATCATTTAATAATGCTTTTCGAGTTTAAATTAGATGATTTCATTATAAAATTGTGTTATCGAATTTCTAGCATTTTTTTGGGTGCTTTTATAGTGTTTTCAGGCACTCAGAATAGGGCAAAATAGAAAAAATTCTATTAAATAACTTCATTTTAAACATTCTGAAATTATACGACATATAAATCCAAAATGTAACAAATAGACTTTGCAAAAATAATAATTTCTAAAAAGAAAATCAGGATAGTTTCCTGACCATAGTAGAATTTTTCATAAACAAAAAACTTCTTTGATATGATCAGTCAAATTGTATCTTAATACTTTGAATAGGTACACAATTTAATCGATCATAAAAATGAAGTTTTATTTGTTTATGAAAAATAATCATTTTGACTTTAAACTTGCCTTAAAAGTAATTAATTTTCTACAAAAATGATCCAAACGTTCTGACATGTTTGTGCTAAATTTGTCTCATGTTCGTAGAAAAAATAATGTTCGTCACTTGTACGAAAGCGATTTTTTTTGCACTTGTGCCAAAATGTTTTTTGCGCTCGTGAAATAAATTATTGTTTTGTATGTCAGATTGCACGCGAGCATAGTATAAGGTTCATGGAGACGTCCGCGAAAGCCAACATCAACATCGAGCGAGCGTTCAGCGAACTAGCGGAGGCCATATTGATAAAAACGGCCGGTAAGGAACCAGGGGATCCCGTGGACAGAGTCACGGTGGACAGAAGACCCACGAACACCTCGAAATCTTGTTGTAATTAGTTTTCAGTTCTATATATATTTTTTTAATTATTATTATTACTTTAAAAAATCTTAATTTAAGTGTACATGCATGTGAACTGATTTATATAAAGTATGCTCATATTGCAATTTTTATTAGTTATAATTATATTTGTGAACAAATCGAAAATTAAATAAATATCATGTGTTCAATGATCGATGTCGTGTCTTCGGAACTGTCAGCCGTCAATATGGAATGTGGGTACAGCTTTTTCAGTGAATTGTCCAGGTACTGTCTTATATTTGAATACTAACAGGAATCTTCGAAAAATAATCTCTAAATTATCGGAATGCAGAAAATTTCAAAAACTAATTGTTCGAAATAAAGTTTATTGAAAAGTAAATTAATCGAGTTACAATGTTTCATAAACGAATCAAAAAAAATTGAGAACATTATTCTGATCTAACAAACTTTATATTTTATTTTGAACCTATAAATTTTTATAGCAGAACGCAAGGGTTCCCGTGATTTCTGTTCGGACATTGCTGAATTGGATGAAAATCAACACTCTTCAAAACACTGTTTTTTCAATAGCTTTTTAAGAGAAAAACGACAAAATTAAATTCAGACATAACTACACTAAGGTCACTAACCGCTTTTAGCATCAAAAACAATAATAGTTAAATGATACCCAGCCCCGGTAAGTAGTTAACTCAAACGTTTAGGATGACAAACACCACATTTTCCATACCTGCAGAAGACCAGCCAAGGACGACCAAGTGTGCAATGTAAATATTTTAAATTGTAAATAAATTTATAGGTTTGTTCCCGAAGCGAGTTCCAAACTTGTTACAAACATTATCTGATACGCATGCGTGAGCAGAATAATGTTTGGAATGAGATCTGAATAAATGTGTGCTGGAACATCAAAAAAATTAATGTAGCTGACTCTTTTGACTATATACAGATCATTCGATTATATTTATTAAAAAAAGAAGATTTTGAGGTTAAACCATATTGTACAAATAAAAACTACCCTCCTTATTATATTTTTTGCTGTTACAAGGCTGTATAAGATTTTAATCAAAATTAAAGATAATAGGTACTCACAAAACTAACCAAAAATCCAATTGAAAACAAAGGAGAAAAAGAAGAAAAATGATTTGAAATAAGCACGCTTGCGCGAAAGTAAAAGTACGTATTTTATTTAGGAACTATTAAAACTAAAAACAAACATGTTATGACCAAGTTATAATTCTTGCGGAAACACCAAATAAGTTCAATTTTTTTGGAACTTTGCTCTGCTGGAACAGTTATTTTGTACTGCGCATACTCAATATGTTAGGAACTCGCTTCGGGAACTTTACTTTAGAAAACTTTATTTACAATTAAAAATTTATGTACATGTCATATAATAAATATTGCATTCACCACACTACGAGCCCACACGCGAGCCCTCCGGACTATGGAGAGTAGAGTATATCCGCCATTTACAATATTCATTTACGACTAAATATTTCTGGTAAACGTAGCAGCCCTTACTCCTTACCTGAGCGGTATTATTAAGGGATTTTGGGGTTTTTTGGAATCAGGAATGGAATGTTATTTATAGGATTTGTCGTGTTTTTGTTCTGGTTATTGTCCCCTGTAAAAGCTAGAAAAAACAGGGTCGCTTCGGGAACAAACCTATTATAGTCAGAAAATCAACACAAAAAAAGTCCGACGGAAGACTGCACGATGACGTCACTCGTCAGTGTGCAGCTCGAAGCCTGCCGCAAACTCCACTTTAACAATACACAGACTTTCACAAATAACACACAATAGGTCTTTTCCTTTGCATCGAAAGTGTAGCACTGAGCTACGCCACTTCTGAAAATATCGTTCCATCCATACAATTTGTATAAATGGAACAATATTTTCAGAAGTGGTGTAGCTTAGTGCTACACTTTCGATGCAATATAATATAAGATTTTTTAAAAACTAAAGTACAAACCCAAGTAGAATATTTTCTGTCAACTCACTTTTTCATTTCGTGACGTCACTCCGTCCTTAACAACCGGGATGAAACTACCGTTTCAGTCCACGAACCGTGAAGACAACCTTTTTTCTTTCTAATAGTGGATTGTATTTGTTGCACTAGGTGTAAATTTTCTACATTAATTACATTTAATTTGTTCAGTGTAGCTTCAAATATTTGATACATTAGGTTCTTTCGTTCGTCCCACTGGTGTAGGAATGAACTACACCAACGGACACTTTACCTTTCGTTTGGTCCGGTGTAAGATCCACTACTTCTTCCTGTCGGCGATGTGGTGTCCACTGGAGGATATTTTCTCCACTAGCTATTTAGCAGGAGTGAATTGCACTCGACATGTGTATAAGGAATAAGAAGGAAGTAAACTAGATAAATAAGGTGGTGTAATTTACACTGATGGACACTGAACCAACAGCCAATGAAAGAACCTATACTTGAGTGTAGCATATACTTTTGACAAGTATGACAGTTCGAATACAGTGTCGAGTGTGACACTAGTGCAACAAATAAAGTCCATTATAAGTTTTTCACATGGAAGACAATTACAACTTGTTCGATTTTACTTGTGATTCACAAGTAAAATTAAACAAAAACTTGACTTCAGTCGTACAAAGCAGCCAATATTGCCATACGTATAGTGGACAACCCTGTTTTTTAGGACGATTTTTCAGAGAATACGACAAAATTAAATTCAAACATCTCAACACTGACCACTACCGATATCCCCAAAATCTCCATAATGTTTTGATAATATCAAATCGATAGGGAAAAAAACGCAGGAGCCACAAAATAAACTTCTCGAAATTTGCATATCGAATAATTTTATTTCGAAAAATTAGTATTCGAAAATTTGACTATTCAAAAAATGATATTTCGTAAAATTAACGAATAATTTCTAGAAATTTTAATAGAATCTAACAGGACATCGAAAATATATAAAAATGATTAAATTTGTATACAACAAAATATTCCCGTCAATTAATTTTGGTTATTCTTTCATTTTTGAGCAGGAATTTTGAATTATTTTAACATTCAGCACAATATTCCAGTATGGCTTCATTTTTTGGTACATCTACAATTAACAAAATAAGTCTAGGTACATGGTTAATACGAAAATTTATAACTATTATAATTTTTTGCAAAACACATTCAAGTGAAGTTATTCTAATGATACTTTCAATTTTGAAGCGTAAACATTAAACAAAATAAGTCAATAGTTATATTATTATTTTAGTCTGAATCAAGAAAATATACATTATTGTTTATTAACAGTAAATTGCACAGTTACATCGATTTCCAAACATTTTTTATTTTATAACCTTCTAATTCGCACTAGTTGTTCCCACCTCTAATCGGCTCTATAAAATACTATAATATCGATGTTAAACGTTTTGAAAGGAGATAAACTTAATTTTATATAGATTTCTTCTTTATATTTGAAGAAGGTACAAAACATTTTCTAGTGTGTATGTATAGAAGTTTTTTAATATTTTGAAGACTTGATTTTAAAGTCTTCAAAATAATAAAAACTTTAAATGTTCTAGAAAATATTTTGTATCTTTTTCGAATCTACATGAAATTAAGTTTCTGTCCTTCCAAAATATCAGGAACGCTTGACAACGTCGCATTGATTAATGATTAAAATTCATTTGAACTAATTTTTACCTAAATTACGCATGGGAGTAGTCCATTAAAGAAAATAAAAAGAAGGGAGGCTAACATAACCAAACAATTTAATTAATTATAAAATTACATCTTTATTAAATCTAAAAATGTTTTTAAAATATAAATTTGGCAATTGGAACGGGTCGCTTGAGTCTCTAATTGACCTTTGATGTAATCTAAATGCTGCCATGAAATATTAAATGTAGGTATTAGCTCTACATTAAAACTGTTATGTACATCAAACCTTTCTTCATTTTCCAGTATTTCTTCAATCAAAACGTCTCTAATTACATCATAAAACGCCATTTTCCTTTATGTCAAAAATTAAAGGTGCATTTTAACACCCCTTTAAAAATAATAATTTTTAAAGGAATCTCTTTAAATATTGACGGTAATGAGTTAGTGAATAGGAAAATATTTTTAAACACCGTCAATATTTTAACGGCTGTTAAAATATAAAGGAATCATTACAGAATATACCCCACAGCTCTTCTATTTTAACACATTGGGTATAAAATTACAGCTGATAGCCTCCTCTTTAATAGTAACCAGGGCTGTCTTTATTTGCACTCACTCGAAAATGTATCGAAGTTTGTTGTTATTTTACCGTCTGCGTAAAGTCAGAGTAATCCATATTTAAGGCAACCCTAGTTGTTGTTAAAGAGAAAGTTGTCAGCTTTTATTTGACATCAATTGCGTCAAACTAGAAATAACCTTAGTTGCTTTGCGACCTATCATTTTTTTCGTTTATCCTAAAATAATCTAGAGAACACGAAACTGTTCAACTAAACTATAAAATTTTATGTTTATTGTGGAAAAAAGATTTGTAGTATCACTGTTTATCAGTTCTCTAAAAATGTATGTTCTAATTTTAACTTTTAAGATGGCAAACAAGTAAAAATTTGACAATTGATGTCAATAAACGTCTGAAATCTAATAGTACAGATACCATGCATCAATTTACTGAAAAATCTGTATTGACTTCACCACATGTCGGCTTTTAAATGTCATTAACGTCGATTCAATTGAATTTTCATTATATATTTTTTTGTAAAACGAATTGATATGAACCGATAAACAAATCTATAAAACATATTTATTATTTTCCTTTCTAGCATCGTTATCTTGACTATGACTATTAATATTAATATAGCAAATTAATCTGTCGACAAAAAATAGAATACGACGATTAATTTAATCTCATTCTAGTTAAATTCTTCGTAATCGATTTAAATTTCACTTAAAGTTAAGTCGTATACAGGGTGTAACTTAAAGTATTGCAATTATTTGAAGAAAGCCGATTCTAACCTAATAGTTTTGTATCTTGAGAGTTAAAACCTG